CTATGTGATTACAGAGCGCAGGCTCCTCAACCCCAGCGCACAAATAGACTAGGAGCTTCCATGGCCAGAACCCCCTCCTGATGGGCCAACCATCCAGGCATCGGTATTTTAAAAATCCCTCCAGGAAATTCTAACAGGCAGCCAGAGTTGAAAACCACTGTTGCAGATCTTGGGTCCTCCGTGTTTCCATGTTCTACTCAACGTGAAAGTGAGCTCTGTTTCTAGCTATAGCCATTAAAAACACAAAACTGATGTTCTCTGGAACTAAATAAAACCACTGCTTACCCTCCTTTTCAAACTAGAGAATAATATTTTGGTTTTAGAAAAAAGAAAAAGAACCGCTCTCCCCCCCCAAATTGAGTTCCGGGTCGCAGGCTTGCTGTTTCAACATCTTGATTCCCAAAATAGTTGCAAGGAGAACTGGAGAGGTGTTCCTAGTGAACTTCTCAAGTATTTTTGAAGTTGTCACGTGAATTTTTGGAAATCAGGTTAGAGATGCCAGCAGCAGAAATCTAGTTCTGGCATCACCCTGAGCATGGGAGTAGGTAACTTGCTTTTCTGCAGAGTGCTCGGGTGGGTTGGTTTTCTTGTCTGTTTGTGTGTAGAGCTAATTTTTGTAGGTGCCTAACACAGTATAAATAGTTGAAGTCCTGGGAGACGGAGAGGACCGACTGTCCTTGCTATCTGAAGTCAACAGAGGATGTTTCCAAGAGGAGGCGCTCTCACCCCTCCTTCCAGGTGGAGGTGTGTTTGGGCAGACAGGAAGCTGAAGGGGATGTCACCGAGACAGCTGCCCGGGGCTTGTCCTTCATCTCTTCCTTGAAAACCCTTATGTTATTATAGCTTTTAGAAGAACTTTGTATTGGTATCATACAACCTTGGATCTACCACCATTTAAATGGTGTTTCCCCAAATAGATCTCCCCATTTAAAAAGCCAGCGACACTTGGGTGAGTCTCCGAGGCAAGCGTTTGTGTGGTCCCAGCTCCAGCCCTTGGTGTTTTAGGTCTTCACCTGCAAGGTCTCCTCTGATCAAACCTCCCCATCCTGTGTCCATTCAAGCCCCCAAGGCCCTGCCAGGTGCCCTATTAACTGATCTCAAATAAAGGTATTGAATCAGGATGTTAAACATTAATGATGCAAAGTACTCACACAATTGTGTAAAGAGGGAATCTGGGAAAGGAAACGGGGTTCAACCCCACTAGTATCCAAAAGAATGCAAATGTGATGTGATTTTTCAGTTACCAGCTGAACGAAGGTAAAAAAAGAATGGAAACACTAGAGTTGGAGAGACTTCAGAGAAGTGTGAGGTCGCCTGGGCGCTGGTGGAAGTGTAAATCGCCACAATTTCTGGAGAACAATTTGGCAATGTGTGCCATACACTTAGAAATGTGCCGACATAACAATTTCACCCCTGAGAGTGGATCCTAAGGAAATTATTGGGAAGGGGCCAAGGGTACTCAAACCAGCTTTGTTTATAATGCAGAATAATTAGAAATATCTAAATAAATGCTCGCCAAGTGAGGATAATTCATATCAATTATGGTCCTTTCATACAATGGAATACTAAAGAGCCTTTAAAATGATATGAATTTAATAAGCATGACAGCATGTCCATTAGATAGTATGCTCTATGGTGTCAATAATGTAAAATTGGTTGTGCACAAGTGTGCACATGTGCCTTTATACACACAGCGATCTACAACGGTAGTCATCGAAATATCAACCATGGTGTCTTCTGGTTGGGAGAGCTTTGAATGCCTTTAACTTCTTATTTTCGTTGTTTCTGAAATTATGAAAGCAATATTCTTTGCTTTTACAGTCATTGCTAACACTAACAGTGTGCAGTATGTGCCAGGCACTACTCTAATTGCCATCTACTATTATTATTCCTGAGAAAACAAAGGTAATGAGAGATTAAGTAACTTGCCCACGGTCCACAGCTGGTAAATAATGTAGCTGGGGTTCAAAACTGGTCATCTAACTCCACAGGCTCTAATTAACCGCAGTAGAGTGAAAATCTCTGCAATCCTCCCCCACCAGCAAACCCAGTCCTAGCCTCAGCAGTAACCATTGTTAACCATTTGTCAGATAGCCTTCCAAAATTTCTGCTGAAATTTCTTCCAAAGTTTGTCCTTCCAAAATTTTCAGGTACACGAGCACAAACACAGGGTGGTATTGTCTCTCCTGTTAGTATGCAGAGTTCACCCTCAGACTTTCACCCCCTAAGGGGTATTTTGTAGCATGGACATAGGGCATGGATGTGACCATGACTCTACTAAAAACTGGTGATTTCCAGCTCTTCACCCTTGCAGGCCAAGCAGTAGTAAACATCCTGGTATACATATTACTGTGTGCAGATGTGTACTGATATTCCTGTGATAATCTCCCAGAAATGGAACCACTGGGTCAAAAACTGCACACTAAATGGTGAAAGAGGCTGCCTGATTCCTGGCACCAAGAAGGCTGTGCAGCTAGTGTAAACATACTACATATAGTGTATACATATACACAGTATATGCACACATACATACTCTCTCTCTATATATATATCCATATGCTATATCCATATGTGCAGTGTATAATACATACCTACAGTGTAATGCATACATACACACACTACATACATACATATGCTACATACATACATATGCTATATACATACATACATACACTGTGTATATCCATATACTATTTACATACATCCAGTAATTGAGTGCTCACCTCCCACCCCCTATTTTCAGCAGCACAGGAAGATGTTAGTCTTTTTCATTTTTGCCAATATGAGAAGTTAAAGATTATTTCATTTGCCACAATTTAAATGTCCTAGATTACCAGTAACCTTGAGCATCTTTTCATGTTTATTGGCCATTTTTATTCATTTTACAACTGCTCACTTCTCAGTTGTGTCATTTGTGGTTTTCTCATTGATGGGAAGGAGCTTTGTTCTATTATAAATATCAGTCCTTTCATGCCTTGTTCGCTGCCAGTATTTTCCCAGTATGTTGTATTTCTTTGATCTTCATTTGTCTTNATTTTACAACTGCTCACTTCTCAGTTGTGTCATTTGTGGTTTTTGATGGGAAGGAGCTTTGTTCTATTATAAATATCAGTCCTTTCACGCCCTGTTCACTGCCAGTATTTTCCCAGTATGTTGTATTTCTTTGATCTTCATTTGTCTTATTTGGTTATATAGAAGTTTTAATTGAGTTTATTTTTAGGTAGCAAAATCTGTTCATTTTTTTCTTTATGGTTTTATATTTTGTTAAGAAAGACTTTCCGCACACTAAGAACATAAGAATACTCTCCTGTGTTCTCTTCCAGTATATTTATATTTTTGTTTATAGATTTAAAATTATTTATTTGTTTATTTATTTATTTAAATTGTGGTAAAATATACATAACATAAACTTTCACATTGTAACCATCCGCCGGTGCACAGTTCAGCGGGAGGAAGTACATCGCATTGCTGTGTAACCGTCACCGCCATCCATCTCCAGAACTCTTTTCATCTTGCAACACTGAACCCCTGTACCCATTAAACAGGACCCCCCTCCCCCCTTGCTTCAGCCCCTGGCACCCGCCATTCTACTTCCTGTCTCTATGAATTTGACCACTCTAGGTCCCTCATGCAGGTGGAATCAGACAGTATTTGTCTTTTATGACTGGCTGGCTTATTTCAGCCAGCACAATGTCTTCAGGTTTCATCTGGGCTGTAGCATGTGCCAGAATTTCCTTCCTTTTTAAAGCTCAGTAATACTCCATTATAGATTTATTTTTATGTTTAGGTTTTAATCCATGTGGTATTTAATATTGTGTTTGATGAGAAATAGGTGAGAATATAAATATAAATAACTTTAAAAATGTATAATAAATATAAATAACTTTTTAATTTTTAGGTAGATCATCTTTTAAACAGCTCCTCCATCAAAACCCTCATGCCCACGGGGGTCCAGGCCTGTTTCTGGACTGTTGTCCCTTTGTCTGTATCTGGACTGGAACCACATTGTTNATATGCCCACGGGGGTCCAGGTCTGTTTCTGGACTCTTGTCCCTTTGTCTGTATCTGGACTGGAACCACATTGTTTTAATCACTGAAGCTTTTCAGCAAGTTTTATATCTACTAGAAACATGTCCACCTCCATTCTTCTCCCTTTTCAGACATTACCTTTTTCAAAGAAATTTTAGAATTAGATAGTCATGCTCCACAAATACTCCCTTGGGATTTCGATTGGAATAGCTTGAAGCTCCCCATAACTTGGGGCTGACATTTTCCAAAGCTGAGCTAGCTGACCTTGCTCTCTGGGCAGCTCTCCAGACGGTCAGGTGCTGCCCCCTGCAGGAAGGTGCAGGCAGGTGCTACCTCCCTACGGCCTTCCCACTCGGCCTGCTCCACCCAGACTGTGATTCCAAGGCTTCTAGAAATGACAAATCCCTACACATTCGTGGTTTAATTTATTTCCTTCCCCAGACGACATTTGGATTTTTAACCTGAACTTTCAGGACACAAATACAGAGTGGATGCTTGGAAACCTCAGGCCCTGCAGTAGTAGAACCCATCAGTAAATGTTTTCCCTGTTCCCAGCAACCACTGAGCACAAGTGTGACTGGCCCCAGATAACCAGTTTCCAGTTGAAAGTTTAACAGCTTTGTTCCCTCATTTTAATTGTACAGTTAACTGATTTTTAGTAAATGTGCTAAGTTGTGCAACCATCACCAAATCCAACTTCAAACATTCCCACCCCCGACCCGAAATCCCCGGTACCCACTTATGGTCATTCTCTGGATGCCACTTTGCCCTGAGCAGGACAGCACCAGGAGGAGTGGGGCACAGAGTGAGGGGGTCCCTGAGAGATCCTCCACCTGTGAGTCTAGAACCAACGAATGCCGGATATCATGCATAGAGTCACTTGCAGGCCAACACCCTCTCCTGAGGACACCCAGCTAGGGGCTCCTCCTGAGGACACTGACCCTGCTGAGCCCCATCCTTACCCCTTCCAGGTGGATAAAGTTTGAAGAAAAGGTGGAGGAAGGAGGCGAACGCTGGAGCAAACCCCACGTGGCCACACTGTCCCTGCACAGCCTCTTCGAGCTCCGGACCTGCCTGCAGACGGGAACGGTGTTGCTCGATTTGGACAGCTGCTCCTTACCACAGATCATAGGTGAGGCAGGGACTGCTGAGGTCCCTCAACCCAGGGCAGCGCTTCCCCCTCCAACCACCTGCTCACCCTCAGTCCATGTGACATCCTCACCTCTGACACCGGCCTGATTCTGCAGAGACCAGACTGTGGGTCTGATGCTCCCAGGGCAGCTTCACAGTGGCTCCAAGTTTCAGTCCCACGTGGAGCTCCAAAGAAAAAAAGATCATCCTCTGAAATGCCTCCAGCGATGTAGCAAAAGGGAGAAGGGCTTCCTAGTGTGGTCACAGATACCTGTCGCCATGGCTGGGTAAACGGATCACCATCCATCTTCAGGAAATTAGCTCTCATTTAGTGAAGTGGCAAAGGGAGGGGGTGGCTTGCCTCATCACCCCTAAAACTTTTTGTGAATTTTGTTCTAGCCCATTCAATTTTGCCAGAAGTATTCTGCCCAAAATACTTTCCTAAAGAGAATTCATGTTAGGACTAAAACATTTAACACAGTACTTTTGTGCATCTTAGGGTATTCCATGTGTATGAGCTCACTTGCTTTTTTTATTTGATTTTTTAGAGAGAGAGAGGAAGGGAGAGGAAGAGAGAGAGGGAGAGACATCCATCGGCTGCCTCCTGCCCGCTGCCTACCAGGGATCAAGCCCACAACCCCGGCATGTGCCCTGGCCGGGGTACCAGCTGGCGGCCTTTTGGTGCACGGGATGACATTCAACCAACAGCCACACTGGCCAGGGCTGATTTCATTTACTTTTGACAATAGAACTGATAGAGCAGAGAATTTTACACACATACACATGCACCCACATGCGTGTGTACACATGCACACCCAGGGACATGCACACACTCTTTTACTCTGAGAAGGCTGAAGGTCCCTGATTTGCTCAAGTTTCAACCGTTGGTAGTAAAACCAGGACTATTTCCACATCGCCTCCCTCCTTTAGATCACTTTTAATCCCACAAATAACAGATGAAATGAAGACCCCCACACTCCTTGTCATTCTGTCCCACACGGAGGAGGCGTGTTTGTTTCCCGCTTAGATGACGTCATTGAGAAGCAAATCGAGGACGGCCTCCTGCGGCCCGAGCTCCGGGAGAGGGTCAGCTATGTCCTCCTGAGGAAACACCGTCACCAGACCAAGAAGCCCATCCACCGCTCCTTGGTGGACATTGGCAAGTCGGTCTCCTCCTCCACCGGTGAGCTGGGCTGTACACTGGTGGGCCTTGGGCACGGGGTGGGGGGGTGTTGGGGCTGGTGTCAGGCCCTGGTGCCCGGGTGAGCCCATGTCAGTGACCGGGGAGTCTTGGCAACTTGGAAGCTTCCTGAACTTCACAATCCTGGAGAGATTCTGAGGTTCTGGGGATTCCTTAGCCTCCTCTAGTGGGCTGTAGGGACCCCAGCCACACCCCAGTGTTGTCCCTACCACCAGAGCAGAACCATTTCTAGGAAGAGAGTTGATTCTCAGCCTGGGCTGTGCCTTGCAATCCACCCTGGAGAGTTGTACTCAGTTGGTCTGGGGTGTGGCCCGGGAGCAGGGAGTTTAGAAAGTTCCCCAGGAGATTGTCATGTGCACTCAGGGTTGCAAAATGCCATAGAGATGGTAAGGGCTTGAAGTTTTTCCCACTGAATCCCCAAGAAGAGCCAAGACCCCGGCAGAAAGGTGGGGGGGGGGGTTGTTCCATTCACACATCTCAAACCTGTCACCCTCCGCTCTTGATATCCCAGAGCTGAAATGCCCAGACACTAGCCTCGCTGGACCTGCGGATAAATGCAGTAATCAGAGCAAAGTTGCTAAATAAAGAGCCTTGAGGAATTTCTTTATGTGAACTGTTTGAAATGGGAGGGTGTTTAGCATATCATAACAGCAGACACACACGGGGCACCTACCGTGCTCCATCACTGAAGCGTAACTCACTTTATCCCCACAATAACCTTGTGGCTAGGGACTGTTCTCACCATCCCCATTTTACAAATGAGGAGCCTTGGGCACAGAGAAGTTAAGTTACTTGCCTAAGGCCACACAGCTAGTCAGTGGTGCAATCGGGGATGAAACCAGGCCATCTACAACACTTGTGCCTATTTAATCAATTGGTTATCTATCTCACTTTCAACAGTACAAATATTTAATCTTGTTCAGACTATAAACTTGCTTAAAAAAAAAAAAAAGGCCCCAGAACAAGAGCAAAAAACAAAACAACCAAAACCACCCTTTTTCCTGGAAGGAGAAGAGACAAGTCTTGTAGCCCAGCTTTGTCTAGGTGAGATGATGACACGTTGTGGACCAACCACCTTATGGGAGAGGCTGCACCAGTCCAGCCAGGCTGCCAAGGCAAACCCCTCTCTTCCTCCTTCCAGGTCGAAGCCCGGCCCGGAGCCCCACAGCCGGCCCCAGCCTGCGCCACTCCACCGAGGACCTGAGGATGCAGCAAAGCATAAGTTACGGCCGTCTGTGTGAGTGTGCTCTCTGCCGCTGTGCCACTGCTTCTTCGTGACAGCCTCCTCCTGGCTGTGGCGGCTGTGGGACATTGTCTTTCATAGTCTTTCAAAGGCGGAGGAGACAAAGCCCAGGATCTGTCTAGAATTCTCAGGACAGGCACCAGGAAAACTAACTTTCACCTGAAACCCGGCCTGCTCGTAGAGCCTAACTTACTACTGTAATTTTCTGTATAATTATTCCCAAAAATGCAGCTCTAAGTCAAGTCCTGACATAATCAACACCCAATCCTATGTGCTAGGCATTTGTATCTTAGTCTATACCTTGGTTTTCATCAAATTGATATTAGCCCTGTTTTTGGTAAGCAGCCTTCCTAGAAACAGAATTAAAAGCAGGTGAGGTAACTTCCCCCTGGGACAGAGAGTGTTCCCATCACTGGGTGACAGTCTCGTGTCACGGTGACAATGAAACGCTAGTGGTCACATCCCCCTGGGTGCCAGGAATGGGGAGGGGGCTTGTGAGGTGCCTGGTCGCAGACAAGGCTTTTCTAGGCAGTTCATAAGCGATGTACAGGACAGGTGAGCTGAGAGGCAAAGAAAAGAGGGAACTTGGAAAATGAAAAGACAATGTGAAAAGAGCAGTCCTATTTTCTTTTCAACACTTTTACTAAAATGCCAAGCTATGAACAAGCACAGCCCAGGGCTGGGCCCCTACCAGACCTGAGGGGTGATCCGGGAGGAGCTGTGGCCCTGCCCCAGGCCTCTGCTGCAGTTTGCCACAAGCTTTTTTCTCTGCTCTTTGTGTCCCTGGGTCCTTAGCCCACCCCTGGACCTGGTTATTCCATGTAGGGGTGTCAGGGGACAGCAGCCAGCAGGCAGCGAATGTCTTCAGTTGCTGTGTAAGAGGCGCCCCTGCGCCCTGCTGCAGTGGTGGGGACCCGGATAAAGGGCATAAATAAGTGATTATAGCACGTGTGCAGCTGCCCCATACCGAGGTGGCACCTGGGGGAGCTCAGTGAGGAGGGTCACTCGCCTGAGTCTTGGAGAACAGGAGTTTTCCAGGAAGGAGCAAAGGAGACAAGCCACAGGTGAAGGGAAGACACTGTGGAGGGTGCGTGTGTTCAGGGAAACACAGTGGTTCTGTCACCACGACTGTAGGGCCTGCAGGAAAGAGGGCCCCATTGAAGGGGCCTCTGTGCCCTGCAAAAAGGCCCAGCCTTTATTTTGATGGTAGTGGGGACCCCTGAGAAGTTTTAAGCAGGGGCAGACCATGATCAGATTTTTCTTTGAGAAAGAATAAACTAGAAGGGGAGGCGATTGGAAGCAAGACACTGGGCCGGCCTTGCGGCTGTGAGAGCAAGAACGGAGAGGGAAGGTTAAGGTGGGAGCTGATGATGGGGGTGGGGGGAGGAAGAAGGGGGAGCTGATCTCTGCTCTGACTGCCAGTGGATGGGAGGGAGGGGGCGCTGGGTGGAGTAGGGTCTGTGGGGGGAGTTATTTGGTAGAAGACATTGAGTTTCGTTTCCCAGTGTGTTGAGTTTGAGGTGCCAGAGGAGTCTGGAGCTCAGGAGAGAGGTCTGGACTGGAGACCCCACCTGGGCATCCTCAGCCCAGATGTGGGCGTGGAAGCGACAAGAGTGGTGTGATTGACCAAAATAGAGGGGCTGAAGTCTCTGGAGGAGATGAAGGCAAAACAAGACCCTCAGGAGAGCCCAGCAGGAGAGGATCCCAGGAGGAAATAAGAGGAGGGGAGCCAAGGGAGCAGGTCCTGGAAGTGAGGGGACACCCAGGCTGCAGGAAGCCAAGAAATAACAGGCCTGAGAATGCCCGCTGGATCTGGCTGACCTTCTCCTGCCTTAACCAAAGGGAGGAACTATCGGCAGTTCAAATAAGTCACCACCACTGTCCTCCCCACGGGAAACCCACCTCCCCTCCCTCTGCCAGCCCAAACCCCTGGCCATCTTTAAAGACTCATGGAGGACCGAGGTGAAACTCGCCTTCTCTCTCCAACAAAGCCCCAGCTGAGCGACACCTGGGACCTCACCTGATAGCATGTCTGTGTCCCTCTCCACCCCCCAAATCTGGCACAGACCAGACATCTTGGTCTCTGCCCGGGAAGGTGGTCCCTGCCCTGGAAAAGGGGGTGAGGGTAGAGATGAGAATACAGCAGATACAGGAGAAGGGAGAAGTAGCACCTGGGGCCTGGCACCTCTTCTAAGAGACCTGCCATTGAAGGGAAGAAAAGAGAAAGGAGGCTAGCTCAGGAGGCTGCAGGCCTAGGGAAGGGGGGCTCTTCTTTTGCTTATGAAGACAGTTGAAGCATGTGTAGGGGCCAGGGAGAAAGGACCTGTGAGAGGTGGCTTCCCCTGATGGACCTTCTTTTTTCTCTCCTAGGTCACTCCCAGAGCAGAAGCATGAATGATATTTCTCGCACCCCAAACCCTGACCAGGTAGTAAAGCCCCAGCACTGGGCTGCAGTGAAGGGCCAGGGCAGGAGGGAGCCTTTGGTTTCGTTGGCAGGGAGCTCCTATGGGCAGGACTCCACTCTCATGAAGGAGCAGGAGTCCCCAAGAAGGACGTGTGTGGGGGCGGGGGAGGCTCTGGGCTGCCTGGTGACTCTGCTCTCTCTGTCACTTGGGTGTTGACTAATCCCCAGGCTCTGTGCCAGGCTCCTGGGATGGGTGGGGGGCAGAAAAGCATGATTGGGTAAAGTGCCAGCTTGAGATTTGTTGGAGAGAGAAGACCAGCACGCAGAGTTTCACCTCCTGTATGACACACAAGTACCTTTAAAGATGGAGTAGGAATTTGGGCTGGTAGAGACTGGCAATGGGGCCTCCCTGTGGGGACAAGAGTGGTAATGAATCAAGTGAACTGCCCAAAGATAAAGCCAGTTCCTGTCTCCCACCAGCTTGGCTCAAATCTCTTGATGAGATCAGAATCCTACAAACAGGTTGAGTCCATGCTCTAAGAGCCACAGCCGGAGAACCCTGTGACTGTGCCCTTTGGGGAAGCCCAGAAAAGCCCCCGTCAATCCCAACCCCTGCACACCTCAAGGGCAGGAGAGCTCATGGTCCCCTTGCTTGTGCCCTCAGGAGTAGGAAGAAAGGTGATGAAAGAGACCTGAAATTTGGTGAGGACTCCTCAGGAGCTTGGGTGAGGGCCTGGCCTTCAAGGCACCCCAAGTTTGGTGGCAGGCAAAACAAAAGCAGTCCCTCACATCAGTGTCCCGAGGGCCCTTTGGTGGCCAAATAATAAAATAACAATAACAGCATCTACCAACATTTAAAACCCACACACTGCACACATCACACCATGCCAGCGTCTTCTGTGCATCATGAACGTACTACTATCAGCTCCAATCTACCGAGAACATTGAGCCCTATAGCAGTTAACGTGCCCAAGTTCATGCTGCTCAAAGGTGGCAGAACCAAGATTTGACCCAGGCAGTCTGCCTAGAGCCCTTAATTTGGAAGTGACTTAGCAACGAGTATTCTGGGATGGTATTTAGAGAAGATCCTCACTTTAGTACAGTCAAGCGCACAGACAGTGGGGCCCTGGTGAGTAAGATTGCCTAGTCAAAGTCATTCATGGCCTATTTTAACAAATGTCTAAGTGGTAATAAGAATTCGAGCTGTCACTTTCCCCAGGCAGTGCTGCCTTGATGTAGGGATTGGAGCCCAGCATCCACCGTCCAGCTCTTCTAACTGACCAGGTGATGCTGCTTCTCAGTATTTGCAGCAGCCGCAGCGGCTTGTTGTGGGAACAGCAGTCTGTCCGCCAGTAGGTGCTCTTTAGGTTCAAGCCCAGAGGCGTTTGCTCTGCAGGCTTTTTCTTCATGGCTCCTGCCCACCCCGGGCAGTCTGGCGGGTTCCCAGTGAGCAGAGGGTGGATTCAGACAGTACATTTGTGTGCAGTCACTCAACAGAACTGGACCAGACTCCCCATGGGTTCAGGAAGTGGGATCGGCAAGGCCCTGGCCAACTGTGGTCAAACCAGGGTGACAAGAACAGCCTCATGGCCCATTTCTGGGATGTCACCACTCTAGTCAGCCTTCTTACCAAACGTGTCACCACCTGCAAGGGAGGACCACGGCCCTGTTTCAGCTCCTGCCCTCTCCTGGATTATGAGTGTGCTGTTGGGCTGCCCCAAAGCCTCGTTGATGTCAAAGACTTGTCCTCTGGGGCATTCCTGCCACCCCTCCTCTCCTCCTGTCCCCTGGATCTGCTGACCACCTGATGCTTGTGGGCACAGAACGGGCAGGGAGCATCAGCTCCCTTGGCACACCAAGCCCCCCATCCTGAAGAATGCTGCTTATGATCCAGCTGATTGTGCTGGAACAAAGGGACTTTCTGAGTTGTGGGGACTCTGGCCTTCCCGTTAACTCCTGCCCTTACTTGTTCTCACTGTGTCTGGGTCCTTGGGACTGTTGCCTGGGTGGTTGCAGAGAGTTTTAATGTTTAATTAGATTTTAAAGATTTGATTGGATTTAAGATATTTTAAGGGTGCCTTTTCTCATGCTGGTAGGCCACCCAGCCCAGTGTGTATCGTGTCCACCACTAGTCAATCAGGGAAATGGAGCTTGTGGGAAACAGACATTTCTGTGCCCACAGGAGAGGACCAGGGAGGAATGGGTGGCAAACTTGTGGCTTCCATAGGGTCTCTCTGAAGCACTCACCTCCACCTTCTGGGCCCTTTCGTCCTTTGTTGGTCACTGTGGACTTCCACCAGCCCTGCCCTCCCAGATGTTCCCTGTCCACCGTCTCTACAAAGTTATCTCTGTCCCTTGCCCATCCCCTTGCTGCCCAGAGGGAAAACAATCTGAAAAATGAGTGCATCCTAAGATGTGAGCTTGTGTGTGGCCATCCCTGGGGCATTTCATTGTAGAAGATAACTCAGTAGGAGTCAGTGTCTTACCCTAGCAATGACGTCATAAATGCAGATAGTGGGAATAAGTTTGGCATGATGACTTGTCTCCAGCACCTCTCCTACCAGACCGCACTTGCTCTATCTTTCTGACTTTCCTGCCCTGAACAGACACTGGCCAGAGGGCGCCTGGGCAGTCTAAGTTGTAAAGTTTCAGAAGCTATGGGCTTCCTGGGAGATCCCCTGGGGGTGACTTGGGGGCCTGGAAGTCTCCCACAGATTGGAGGCATGGTCTAGGGGTCCCTGTCAGCCAGGAAGCAGGTGGCAAAGAGAACATAAAGTGCATCACCCTGGACATCAGAAGGGAACCCATCCCTTCCAAGGTCACCTAAGGTGAAGGCAGAGAGGGAGGGATGGGCAGAGAGGAAGCTACAGTGTAAGAGCCAAGACCCCCTCTGCTTGAGCCACAGACGCTGGGGATCAGACCTGACAAGGGGCTCTCTTCTCTCACCCCTCAGCTCACGTTTCATCTGAGCAAAGTTTTTACCCCTCAAGGAATGTCTTAGGGATCGAGTCATTGCTGTTCCTTCCCCTCTACACAAGGCGTTAACAAGCTTCGAGGCTCCTCATCTGCAGAGTGGGAGAGTGGTTCTTTCTTTCAGGCCCTTGATTTCTGGGAGAACCTTTTCGGGTTAGGCCTCCACAGCAGCCTGAGGGGCTGAGGGAGTGAGAGCTGAAACCCCGCATGTGAGTAACCCCGGGCACCTCGCCTTCCCTCTTGACCAGCGGAAAAACAAATTCATGAAGAAGATCCCCAAGGACTCAGAGGCCTCCAACGTGCTCGTGGGGGAGGTGGACTTCCTGGACCAGCCCTTCATCGCCTTCGTGCGCCTCATCCAGTCGGCCATGCTGGGAGGCGTGACCGAGGTGCCCGTCCCCACCAGGTGAGGGCCATTGAAATCTGCCCCGAGTCCTGCCCCCTGAGACTGGCTGTCCACACTGTCAGCACACGGTGCTGGTGGAGACACTCCTAAAACACGGGGCAGTGAGGGAATGGGCTGGAGAGGGAAATCTTCTGACTGGGGAGGAGTTTTAAAAAGTTTGTTTTAAATAATCATTCTAAAGCAGGAGCCAGCAGCTGGGAGGTGCTGTTGGGTGGGACACCAGAGAGCAGTGCGGATGCTGGGCGGGGGGCAGCTAGTGGCGTGGAGAGGAAATGTCTCTCCAAAGCAAACAAGGGAGTCAAAAGAGGGAGGGACAAGTTTACAGCCAGTTAAAAAGTTAAGAATGGACACTGTTCAGAGCCAGACTCCTCTTCGCCTGCTTCTGGTTTTCCTTCCCACGTCCCTGCTCCCCCCCCCTTCATCTTTGCAGATTTCTGTTCATACTGCTGGGACCTTCTGGAAGGGCGAAGTCCTACAATGAAATCGGCCGTGCCATTGCCACCCTCATGGTAGACGATGTGAGTGGGAACGAGAAACGTACTCCTGATGTCATGGCTCCTGACCAAGCCCTGTGCCTTCTCTCATTTACCCAACAGGCACATTTGAGTACCTACTGTGTGCCAGGCTCTGTGTAGGTGCTGAGGATACAAAGATGAGGGAATAGTCCCTGCCTTTAGGAGTGTCAGCCAAGTGGGGGAGACAGACCTATATAACTCAGGAAGTCAGGGCAGGCTTCACACATCGGGGGCCTTAAAGCGACCATGAGCAGGAGGCAGGCCAAGCCTGGGAGACAGGCGTTCCAGACAAAGGGAACGGGGGCAAGGTTCGGAGAAGAGAAGCTGGATGGAAGTGGTTCAATGCAGGCTCAGTGTGGGAGCTTGGAGAGCAGGAGGTGACACAGAGAGGTGAGTCAGAGACCATACGGAGCCTGTGGGCAGAGCGGAGAGTTCATACTCTGTTCCTGGGGTGATGGGGCGCCTAGAGGTCGCCAAACATGGGCATGATCCAATCAGATCTGTAAGTCAGAGAGAACACTCTGGAGACAGCGTGGAATGAGGCAACCTGACCCTCCAAAGATGCAGGGCTAGGAAGTTATAAACAGACTGGAAATAGCTGAGCTTCTCGGATTGGGCTCTGCGCAGGTTTTCTAATGAGTGTGCTCCATGCAAAACTGAAAGCAGAAAGGTCGTCACTCAACCAAAGTCCAACAGCTGGAGCAAGGAGACTTGGCCTTCAGGCCCAAGAGTGGCCATCTGCCCCCAAGGCTGCTGTTTCCCAGTGGGCCATATTTCACCTGCTGGGCTAATGCTCTCATTTCAAAATCTGAGCAAACTGGCAGCGGGAGCAACGGTTCAAAGTGATTTTCTTTGAGACTGTGTGGTGTGCTCCCAGGAGGTGGGTAACAAGGGGACATAGGCCGGAGCTGACCTCCCTCTTCCTCTTCACTGTCAGCTCTTCAGTGATGTGGCCTATAAAGCCCGCAATCGGGAGGATCTGATCGCTGGGATCGATGAGTTTCTGGATGAGGTCATCGTCCTTCCCCCTGGAGAATGGGACCCAAATATCCGAATCGAGCCCCCCAAGAAGGTGCCCTCTGCAGACAAGAGGTGAGCATGTGAATGGAGGGGTGGCAAGGGGGGGAGTGGTACAAAGGAAACTTCAAGTCTGGCTGTTTCTTTTCTTTTGGGGGGGGGTTTAAAAGGAAGCTGTCAGCATACATGGGTTTATACCTTTAACCCCCCAGTTTCATTCTATTTCTCTCTAAAAAAAATCTGAGGCAAATATACTGAATTTGAACATCTATAAAATCTGGGTGACCTGTGTGTGGGTACTGGTCTATCATTTTCTGCATTTTTCTCTATATTTAAAGATATTTTATAATTTTTATTGGAGAAGTAAAAGGTGTTCTGGGGACAGTCCTGGAGGGGCTGAGTCCTTCCCAGGATTGGGGGCTACACTGTCCCATATCCTTCTTCTTCTTCCAGGAAATCCGTGTTCTCCCTGGCCGAGCTAGGCCAGATGAACGGCTCTGTGGAGGGAGGCGGTGCGGCTGCAGGAGGTGGCCCTGGAGGTGGCAGTGGCGGTGGTGGGGTCGGCGGAGGGAGCAGCGGGGATGACAGAGAGATGCCAGCCAAGCATGAAATCGGGGAAGAGCTTATCTGGACAGGAAGGTGCCCAGCCCAGGCCTGATAGTGACGCCAGCGTCCTCTAGACTTGTCCCCTTCCCACCCACCCTGT